TGGATCAGCTCAGTATGGTTTATGTGACGTCGAAACACGTCCAGAGACACAGTGAGCTCATCGCCACCCTGAGGAAGGTACACAGTACACGTTTTGACATCACTGATGCTTTTCCCCTGGCGTCAAACACTAAGTCATGACGTTTTTATCTCTTTACTGTGTTGGTTCCTGTGTTTCCTGTGTGAAGATGCGGTACTACAAAGCCAACCAGGCCATCATGGACAAGGCGTCCATGTTGTACAACCGCTTCAAAAACACCTTCCTGGTGGGGGAGGGGGAGGAGGTGGTGAGTGCTGCCTTCCTGCGCTCTCTGCTGGAGGAGAAGGAGCGGGAGGAGGCCGAGCGGGCGGAGCACTGCGCGGAGAGGCTGAAGAGGGAGGGAGTGCTGCAGGAGGTGAAGAGACGCATGGGCAAGGTGAAGGAGAGGAGGAGCAGTGACGGAGGAGAGGAGAAGGAGGTGAAAACAGAAGGTAAATAAATTAATTTACAGTGAATAAAATATCCTGTTATATAACAAACAAAGTAGATAAATCTAGTCTGTCATTTGTTGAAATGTTGTATCAGTTGTTATTTATTATTATTTTTTAACGTTTATTTAACCAAACAAAAATAACTCTTGGGATTAAAAATCTCTTTTTCAAGATCGTCCTGAGACAGACAGCAACATAAGTTACAGACGACATAGAAAATAAAATAAAATGAAATAAAAAATATACAACCTCAAAACAAGAGAAATGAAAAATTAAATGAAACATTTTGGTATCATTAATTACAAAATAAAAAAGCTTTGCTTTGATTATTATGATTAGTTTATTTATGGTGTATGCTATATATTTATATAGATATTTTTTATTTAACTAATGTGAATTATTTATCCAGCAACTACAAGACTTATTCACTGGTAATAATTTTAAAATAAAAATATTAATAAGGATTTTTGTTTATTATTTAATCATTTATTTAACATACATTTATTTTTATTATCTCTAATAAACAAAACGATACATTTTGTTTTCATCATTTGTAACTTCTTTCATATTAAAAAATATATTGACAGTGTTTTTGTTTATTATTAAACTAAATTGTAAAAAAAAATTTTTTTTGATGTTTTAAATTATGATTTTTTTAGTACAGTAGTTGCATTCATTCATTCTTTTTAGTTTTGATAAAACTAAACTTTGTTTTTTCTGATGATGCTGATTAGCAGGTTGTTGTTGTTGTTTGTGTTGTTTACCCCCCACAGCTCCAGTGGACTGTCCCTGAGGGTTCAGTGTTCCTGAAGCAGCCTGGACTGAACCAACTCTAACCTGAGGGGTGTGGACCAGAAACAACCCCACCCCCGCATGGACAATGAGAACTTCCACAACCACATTTACCTCATCACACACACACACACACACACACACACACACACACACACGCACACACACACCTGTACATTACCTGTAGAGCTCGTATTTATTTACTTCCTGTTGTAAATTAAAGGGCGTCGTTATGTTTAAATAGGAGTTAACACTGTCACACCTGAGCAGGTGTTAACATTAGTGCATCACATACTGACTTTAACAGAACAGTGTTTCTCTCTCTTCCATTATCTCGTCACATTAACCTGAGCATTAACGCCAACATTTCTTTCTTAACTTTAACCTTTAACCTGTCTTCATAAACTAACCTTAACTGTCGTAATCATTTGGGTGAACTGTACCTTTAAGAAGCCAACGTAACTTCAGTCTACATCTGCTAACTGTTGTCTGTACGCAGAGAGGGAACGTTGTCCTTCAGCAAATTTTGTCTAATAAGTTGGTTAACAGTGCTTACGGGGACGTCACAGTGTCTGGTGTCAACTCCGACATTTATTAACCTGTGCTTTAACTTTAAAGGTGCTCTGTGTGCTTTCATCACTAAATGGTCTTCAAACGTGTGTATCGTTAAAACTTAAACCCTCCCATGTGTCTGTACAGGATGTGCTGGGGCTGATGGGAAATGTAGTTTTATTAAGAATGTGCTTTATTTGTGTTTTGAATGTCAGATTAACGATATCACAGCAGCTTTAAACTCGACATTAAAGCATTAACCGGCCTCACTGAACCTCAACATTCACACTTCACATGCTGAGCACACATGCTGAGCACACATGCTGAGCATGTGAAGTGTGAATGTTGCATGTGCACTCTGTGCTTTGCTCAGTGGCACCGCGGCAGTAAACTCACACACAACTGTTTTTTTGGGGGTTTTTTTACACTTTATACGGCAAGATATGTAATTCTGTATTTTTATTGTGACACAGTGAGATGTTTTATATTCTTTTTTTCTGTTTTTACTTGGTGCAGCTGTTAAAGATGTTTACTCTGTGACTCTGTTGTGTATATTTATCATTTTTACTGACAGAAATGTACAGTTTTATAAACCTGACATGGCGTCTGGAGTCGAGTTATTTCACTGTTTTACAGCAGTGACACAGTGAATGACTGATTGTTCTTGTTGCAGGTGTTAAAGATGCACCAGGTCTGTAGGTACAGTTACACATAATTATCTGTTAACTGTCTTTAAGTATTACGATGATAAAAGCTTTGTGTCTTTTTATAAGAAAATGACAGTTTTAAAAGACAAAGAAATATTTAGATCTTTTTACAAAAAAAATTGTTTGTTCCTTTTTTTAAATATTGGATCTCTTTCTTATAAAAATTGTTTAATTTCAAAATATACTTTAAAAATACAGTTTTTCCATGAAACATTATGACTTTTGTTATGTCTTGAAATATTATGACTTATAACTACAGTGAAGCCGTCAGATAAAGGTACAGTATTTCCCTCTGAAATGTGGAGTAGAGGCATAAAGTCACATAAAATGGAAATACTCAAAGTAAAGGTGCCTCAAAGTTGTACTTTTAAAGGGTAATTTGGTGGTCAAAGGTCAAAGTCTCTGTGACCTTTCATCCGTCTTATTTTTCGTGAAAGCAATATTTCAAAAAGACCTTTTAGAATTTAATCCAATTTGGCACAAATGTCCACTGGGACTGAAAAATAAACTGATTAGAATTTTGTAGTTGAAGCTCAAAGGTCAGTGTGACCTCACAAAACATGTTTTTGTTCATAACTGAAGAATTCATTCACCGCTCTCATGTACCTGTGCAGAACAGCTGTTGTCACTGTTGGGATCAGCGGTGTACAGAAGTCAGGACGGACCCTAGTGACAGATTTGCGTTGAAACAACTACTGTATTTATTTCATAGTATTGTCATATGATCAAATACAGACTTTACGTTGGAGTTTTAAAATGATAAAATTACTGTTTGTCGGAGGAGTCTGGTGGGTTGGTGATCGCAATTTAGAGGCTGTTTCTCGTTAAACTACTACTACTAAAACATGATGATGTCACAGTCAAACTGACCTTTGACCTTTTGACCTTCATTATTTTATCCTGTTAGACATTTGTGTCAAGTTTGGTCAGAATTGGGGTCAGTTGGCACATTGTTATCTTTTGGTATTTTGAAAGTCACAGAAATTTAAATTTAACTGGAAATGTTTCCTCCCTTCACCTGCACTCTTCTTCTACACCCTATGGACCAAATGTTTCAGAGAGATATTAGAATACATCACTGTTAGTTAATAGAAAACATTATTTCATCACAAAGTTTCAGCCCTCGGGATTGTTCCTTCCTCCTGATGTTGCTGTCGTCTCTCACCACCTTCTTCTGTTGTTTGTCCATCAACATGGTGTCTGATTGGTCAGCCATCAGCTGTTTGTCCCACAGGATCGGAGCTCGCTCAGTCTCCAACACCTCAGGACGTGTCTTCCACTGTGACCTTGAGACTTCCAGCCCACACTCAGTGCAGACCTTGGTCATGGCGTCCCGTGTGCGCTCCTCCTGTCTGTGTGTCTGTTCTACGTTTTTCTCCTCACTGACTTGGTCAATCCATGTGAAATTTGGCACAGTGGTAGAGGGTCATGGGAGGATGCCAATGAAGCAATATTACATCAATTGGCCAAAGGGGGGCGCTATAGCAACCCATTGAAATGTCAAACTTTGAATGGGCATATCTCATGCCCCGTATGTGGTAGAGACATGAAACTTTGCACAGAGATGCCTCTCCTCATGAGGAACACATTTGCCTCAAGAACCCATAACTTCCGCTTATATAGATTTTCCATTTCCATTTTGAATGTTTTGAAAAACACTTCAAATGGATCTCTTCCTAGGAAGTTTGAGCGATCTGCATGAAACTGGGTGAACATAATCTAGGGACCAATATCTAAAGTTCCCTCTTGGCAAAAGTTGGAAAACTTACTAAAACTGAGCTTCTATAAGGCAATGAATATTGCGGAGGGCGTGGCTCATCACATAAAGGTGTATAACATCTCAAGGGTTTCACCCATCACCACTCAACTTTGTAGGCATATGACCACACATAATCTGAGGGGACCCCTCCATTATTGACCCCATCAAACAAAATGGGGGCGCTAGAGAGCTCATTTCTTATCTAGGCCTAACCGCCATATGGATTTTTACTAAACTTGGTAGATATGCAACATGTTGATATTGTCTGCTTCATGTTGTTTCTGTCAGTCGCTTCATTTATTCGTAACCATGACATCATAACGTCATGCCAACCGATTTCAAAATTTAAAAAGTGCACAACCTGACTTTGATCACATGTCACTTAGGTTTAGAAATGATCTGTGCACATAAAAACATTTATTTAAAGCTGGTCAGAATATTATAAGTCATGTTATGTGCCAACCAGCCCCGCTCTCCCCTCCTGTCCCTCTGATCAACACTGATGTGTCAGTTAGTGTCACATATTAAATACAGGAGACAGTCAGGTTGTATGAGGAGCAGCATGAGCTGGAGGAAGTCACAGATCAGGATGTAATAATCATATTTCATATTCATCAGGTAAACACGCGCTCTGATTGGTCAGACAGCCTCTGTGTGTTTGGGGGCGGGGAACAGGAAGCACGGGAGGTGTGTTTTCAGTGTGTGTGAGTGAAACGTAGACGGATTTTTCCCTCTTCACGGAAGAGAGCGGAGGATCGGTTTCCAGAAACCTCCGCGACGGAGCGACGGACAGAGGAGGACGCACCGGAGCACAGCCCGACAGGAGCCGATCCATCCCGGGGACAAAGCAGGGAGAGCCGCATCTGTTGCAGGAGGAAGAAAAGGAGGAAGAGGAGGAGGACTGCAGGACAGTGTGTGAGACAGAAATGGGACTGAGGCTCTCCTGAGAGGAAGAGAAGAGCAGCGGACCTGAAGGAGGACAGTCACCGGGCTCCGACATGGCCCACGTAGGCAACGGAGCGACCGCAGAGGAGGAGGTGGGAGTCTCTCTCACACACACACACACACACACACACATTACACGCTGAGATATGACCTCTGTGTTGCAGACATGTTCCTGTGTATATGTGGTCTGTGATGTCACACTACTGCTCACACACACACTTTATCATGGCCTCCACACACACTGAAATATTATTATTATTATTATATACATGAGCCTGTGACCTCCGCTGTCCTCACACACCTTCATATGCTCCTACAGTCAGGTCTTACCTCCCTCTACGTCTGTCATGTTCTCATGGTGACATGTTCTGTACTTCCTGTGGCCATGTGCAGTATATTCCTGTGGTTCCTAACCTGGATCCTTGAAGGGCTCCCCAGGAAAATGAGGAATTATTTACTTTCACTTTTTAATTTGCGACAGAAGTGAGCCTAATGTGCACCGAGACATAAGAGTGACCGTTGTGATCACAGGTTTCACCTCCTCCACAGTGATCTCCTCAGCTGCAGCTGACCGAGGGCGACACAGATTCATAGCTCGGTATTTACGTGGTTCCGTGGTGCCCTTTGACCCATTGGGTCACTCCGGCAGATGAGACGACGCTGCTTGGCCCTGTTAGTGGAATATTTACATTTAAAGAACACCAGGGCAGCACAGTGGTGCAGTGGTTAGCATTGTTGCCGCACAGCTAGAGGGTCCCTGGTTCAAACCCAGGGTGGGGGAGTTCTGTGTGGAGTTTGCATGTTCTCCCTGTGTCAGCGTGGGTTTCCTCCAGGTGCTCTGACATGTTCTCCCTGTGTCAGCGTGGGTTTCCTCCAGGTGCTCTGACATGTTCTCCCCGTGTCAGCGTGGGTTTCCTCCAGGTGCTCTGACATGTTCTCCCCGTGTCAGCGTGGGTTTTTTTTTTGGACTTTTCCAACAAATATTTAAATGTTTCCTGCAGTATTTTGGATAAAATCAAACTTGTGACTCAAAGTTTCCACTAAAATCTAGCGCAGTACTTTATTGATCCCGCTGGAGGTCACTTTATGTTTAGACTCAGTGCTTTGACTTCAGTACATGATCCATATTCCCGTATTGTCGCCTGCTCTCATGGAGTCTGTGTACACTGTGTCTGTGACCAGTATTGGCTTTTTAGTGTCTGTATCTGTTGTGTTATCACTTTGTAGTAAGTATATGACACTGTCTCTATGGTGACGGTCCTGTGTTTGTGTTCCCATGGTGACCGATGCTTTATTATATCTGTTGTCCACATGTGACCGTCCAGTATCCTCCATGGTATCACCACCGTCCTGCAGTCTCTATTTGTGTCCGAACTGTGTCTGTATACAAAACTCCATATAATCCTAAATGACTCTGATATATTCTCACTTCACTCTCCTGTGTGCTGCAGCATGTATTGTGTCTGCAGAGCTCAGTCACACCGTGTACAGTATATTTTATGTTACATAAGTCAGTGGCTTTCTAACTTCCTGTGCTCAGATTACAGCAAAGGGCCAAAATCTCAAGGCTCACCTGTGTTTATATCTGTGTTTCTCTCTAGGAACACTACTGAGACAAAAGCCCTTTTTAAACAGGAGTTTAAAAGGTCTGTGGGCTCATGGGAAATGTTTGTTAAAGGTCTTTAATTCCTCCACACTGGTGATAGCCGTGTCCGGAGGCACCATGTTTTCATGTTGTCCATCCATCCCATTCTCTTAAACACAATATCTCTAGAACGCCTTGAGGGAAGATTTTTTAAAATTTGGCAAAGACCGACTTGAGCTCAACAATGAACTGATTAGAATTTGGTGTTCATAGGTCAAAGGTCAAGGTCACTGTGACCTGTGCTCTTCTCATTTCTCATGAATGTAAAGCCCTTTTTAAACAGGAGTTGTGCAAATTTGCAGGAAAGCCCAATCAGTGTTTTTTCAGCATTGGCAGTATAAAATTAAAATCTGGGAGTGCAGCAAAATGCCGCCTACCTACTTTTGTTTATACAGAATGTGCCTTTTTCGGGGCAATGGGGGCCGTGAGCAAGTAACAAAACGTGTAGCTCAGCATGTGACGTAAACAGTGACGTGGGAGGGAAGCCGCGGCTGGTCAGTCCTTTGGCAATTCTCTCGTAAGTCGGCCCGTTCTTCACCGTCCCCGTCATCTGACGGTTAATGGCCTCTTCGTTTGCGAGGACAAGGAGGGCGCGCAATTCCTTGTCTCCCCAGTTGCTCATCTTTACAGTGTCTGTCAGGTTTGTGTTTCCCTCTTGCTACTAGCTGCTCGCTAATTCCTGCTATCAGCTGTTTCCTGTTTATCCACCGCCAGTGGCTCGCACGTGCAGCGTCATCAACAGCTCCTCCTACAAGTCATCAACAGCTCCTCCCACAAGTCATCAACAGCTCCTCCCGTTGTGGAAGGCCACCTCGGTCTGTTTAAACTAAAAGGGTTCCACCAATATGTCTACCCTACGAGGAGGAACACTGGGCACCTTGGATCAACTCGCCAATCCGGCTCTGTGTGTCTAAACGCTCGCAGCTCGCCGGCAAAACGGCCCAACATTCGCCAACAGTCTGGCAGCGTAAAAGGGGCTACATTCACACACACTCGCACACTGGTGGAACAGCCAAGAGCAATTTTGGGTTCAGTATCTGCCCAAGATACTTCGACATGTGGACATGGGAGCTGCTCACAACACCCCGCCCCAGAGTCAGGTCGTCTGCAGGTGATTGAGCACCAGGTTCTCCACAAACATGTGGTGTGAGACAGGAGAGGGGTGACCATCGCCAGGAACAGCTCTGCTCACTGACCGAGGCCGGTTATCAGGGGCCAAACGAAGATCCGCGGCACTATGGTATCATTACGTCTAGGCAGGATTCTGACTTAGAGGTAGCTTCGCACCATCGGCCCCTCAGCCAAGCACACACACCAAATGTCTGAACCTGCAGCTCCTCTTGTACTGAGCAGGGTTACTGCTGCAACAACATGTCATCAGTGGAGTAAAGTTGACCTGTCTCACCACAGTCTGAGCCCAAAGTGCACCGTATATGCACCAAAAAACAAACCCAACACAAAGAAATTCTTTAGTGACTGTGATTGTGTTTCGGACCTGCTGAACGACACGCCCTCCTGGTTCAGCACAGGTGAGCTGTGAGCAGACAGCTGATTGTTATACTGTGTGTAATCAGCTTTAAGTGAGGTGATACTATCAGCTGTGTGTGTGTGTGTGTGTGTGTTTCGTCGGGGGGGGTGGGGGGGGGGCTTATGTAAATGCCAGATCTGATTTCACCCGCAGGCTGCCTTCTGCACAACAAACACAGGAAGTTGGATGAGAATACGAGCTGAAGCCTAACTGTATCTGCTCTGGTCCAGAGGGACGGACGATGACATCACTAACATTAAGTTACAGTGATCAGAGTGTCCACGTGGTCCCAGTTATCAGTGCACAGATCCTGCCTGGTGTCTGGCTGCTAATGTGATGCAGAGTGAGTGGGCGAGGTTATTATTTAACCTTTATGTTTCCAGTAAAGCCTGATGTTCCACCCTGGGTCATACTGTTCAAACTGGGAGCGGCCCAGTATAACCACCACTGTAATCTGATCACTCCAGACCACTTACTGACGTGGTCTGGGACGTATTTAACCACATATAGACAAGGACTACGTCACCACTGCAGGACGTGGTGGTTGTTTTGGTGACAGCACCAGACACCCTGTAACTTCAGCCACATCATGACAAGTTGGAGAAATTGTTGGGCGACGTTTTGGCCTCTGGACAGAGACATGATGAATTCTGCTGACAGTGATATCCCCAGCTGTTTGGATACAACTGCTAACATGATTAGCAAGCATGCTAGGGAGCAGCTAGCAAAAGTGTGGGGGTAACATTTGTGCACAGGGCCGTTGACCCCCTAGAGAGCTCAGAGTAGAGCCGATGCTCCTTTGTGTTGAGGTGGTTCAACATCTGATCAGGATCCTCCTGGGCGCCTCCCGTTAGAGGTATTTCAGGCACGTCCCACTGGTAGGAGGCCCCGGGGCAGACCCAGAACACACTGGAGGGATTATATATCTCATCTGGCCTGGGACCGCCTCAGGGTCCTTAAGGAGGAGCTGGAAAGTGTTGCTGGGCAAAGGGACGTCTGGGATGCTTTGCTTGGCCTGCTGCACCTGAGACCTGCCCAATATAAGAAGATAAAAATGGATGGATCCTCTTCATAGACCCAATTTGTCTGAGTTCCACAGGTTCCACTTTGTTTGGGGGTCCAGAAGTGTTCTCAGTCTGGGGAGATTTGAAGTGCGTTCTAGTGGAATCCGAGATGGTTTCTAGGACTTGAGCAAAGGTCGAAGAGTCTCTGTTGGGTCCTGAAGGTGTGTCGCGGAGTTGCATTAGATTTAAGTGTCTTTGACGAGGTCCAAGATTCTAGAGAGATGTTCTAGAGCTGCCTATTGAGGTGAGAACACAGAAAGTGGATACAGTCTATGAGGAGGTTGTGGAATTTTTGGTGATCCATGGTTTCCCAGGTGTTGCACAAGCACCGGTATGTCCTCTTGACACCTGAGGCAGTTTCAGGATCTCCAAAGTGTGAGGGGCCGGTCTGTCTTCCTGCAGACTGCACCAGCAGGTCGAGGGCCTCAGTCCAGCCAGACTTTGTGTTTACGAGCCGGATGCAAATATCCAGGTGGACGTTGTGGTCTGGGTCCGGGCGTTGAGGCTATCCTGTGTCACACCTCACCAGTTCATCTCCTCACTGGAGCTCACAAACCGTCCTCTGTCAGCCTCCAGTCTTAACTCATCACATTAAAGAGGAATTCAGCTGACTTGGGTCGAGCGCTGAGGAATGTGGGACGAGCTGTGTTTATAAAAGACTTAAACACAGTGCAGGGTATCGTCCGACCTCGCTGCTCAGCAACGCAACAATAAATAACACACAAACATGTGGACAGAAAGGATGAACCCTGTCTCTGTTGAGACACAATCAGCTGTTCACAGTGAGGTGGTCGAGGGTGTTTGACCTCTTTGTTTTTGTTATGTAAGTCTAAGACCTGGACCTACGTCTTCAGC